GGCGGCGGCGGCGATGTATCGGCGCTAAACGCACTCTGCGACTCCTCCCAGATCAGTTATTCTTTCGTTGGAGGGACACGTCTCCAGGAGCGTCTTGCAGCACCAGACAGCCCGACCTGGTGGCTCCTGCTGCATAACCTTGCCCTGGTTCTGAAACAAGTCTCCAAGGCCCTGCCGCCCTCCTCAAATCAGACCCGATTGTGCTGAGCTAGTGGAGTAGTGGAGCATAGAGTCGTGGAATGAACGAGTTACCACATGATTGCAAACACTGTGTGGTAAATGACACGTGATGTAGGAAATGCTTACGTAAAACAGAAGCCAGTGGTTTACACTGAGTGTTTACCCCAGCCTCGTTAACAAACAGGCTCATTTAACCCCTAAAAAGTAGGCACTAGTTTCAAGTTAGAAAACTTCAGAGATAGTTTTAGATCACACAAGTTCTGGTTTTACTCTAGGATTTCTGCACAGAGGGGAGACCAGAACTTGTGAGGTATCTCTTAAGTTCAGTTTTATAACCACTGCCTATTTCCTGATCTTTCTAGCCATGCAGGTTTGATTTCCCCAGCAGGCCCTCTAGTGGTCCAGAAGCAGGAACTGACTGCAAATAACTTCCTAATGTGCCCCTGGCCTAGATTATCCCTAACACCTGCCGTGAACCTGCATCCACAGGCACTAACCTAAAATCTAGGACTGAGCAGCTTCTCTCCACAGGGCTCCTTCAGTGGCAGCTGTCCCCTGTATGGTGTGGCCGCCCTGAATCGCTCCTCCCTGGCCTTATCCCGAGGCTCAGCCCCCTCCCTCTGCTACTTTGTGGCTGGGGCCTCTGGCCTCCTGGCCCTCTACTGTCTCCTGCTTCTGCTCTTCTGGGTCTACAGCAGCTGCATCGAGGACTCCCAAAGGTGACTGCCCCATTCCAAGGGTTAGGGGCCAAGGTGGGAGGAGTCCCACGGCAATCACAAGGCTTGTTTTCTCCCTCCTCATAGAGGCCGGATAGGGCTCCGCATTGCACTGGCTATCTCAGGTATAGCCATCTTCCTGGTCTTAGTGTCCGCCTGTGTCCTTCGATTTGGCACCAGTTCTCTCTGCAACTCCATCATCTCTCAGAACACTACAATTAGGTAATGGGAGAGGGTGGAACCCTGACCCCACAGGGCTAACTTCCCCCTGCAGATGGGGTCCAATAACTCCTTTTATCCCCATCAATTGTTTTCATCTCAAAGGGCACTCAGGCACAAGAGTGTTTGGGTTACATCACCCCTTTCTCACAACTGTCTTTTTGACCTCACAGCTGCTCTGAAGCTCAGAAAATTCCATGGACACCCCCTGGAACCGCTTTGCATTTTTACTCCAATCTACACAATGCTGAAGTGAGGCCCTGGGATATGAAAGTCTGAGTGGAGATCCAGGAATACAGATTCATAGAAACATCTGTAGTTTTAAGGGTACTGGCCAGCGAGAGGCTGAGAGGAGCTGAAGGGCTTGTCAGCCTGTAGCAAAGTTGAGTGGTGTGCGGGTGGAACTGGATTGAGATGACTGCACTCCTCACACTCCTGTTCCTGTCTCCCACAGAATTCTTCTTGGGTCAATCTGGTATTGTGGTGTGTGGTCCTGGTGCTTCAGGTTGTGCAGTTGAAGTCTGAAGCCACCCCATACCGGCTTCTGGAGAGGGGAGACCCTGAATGGAGCTCTGAAACAGATGTTCTAGTTGGGCCACGCCTTTCCCATTCTTGAAGAGTAACCAGAGTGCTTCCTGCAGCCAGTGACTCCCTGCCCAAGTGCCTCTAACCCTCTTGCCCCCACTCAGCCTGTTTATGCTGAGAGCCTGTTCTCCCTCCAAGAGGGAAACAAGACAGGCACCCTCCACCTCTCTTCTTACAGCTTTTTGTACCAAAATATTACATTACTTTCTTCCTTCATCTTGGTACTGAGTTCTTAGTGTTAGGTGGGTGGGAGGAGAGAGTAAAGGCTAAATAATAGATCAAAATGTAGCCTGGCTGGGCGTGGCTTAGTACAGAAGTTGAGCATTGACCTAGGATCCAGGAGATTGCGGTTGGATTCCCGGTCAGGGCACATGCTCGGGTTGTGGGCTTAACCACTAGTCAGGCATGCAGGAGGCAGCCAGTAAATAATGACCCATCCTTGATGTTTCAATTCTCTCTCCCTCAAAAAAAAAAAAGTAGAGGTCATTCAGGTGCCTGTCCTTGGAATGACTGCTTTTATTTGCTGTCATGAATCTTGGGCCCCCTTATATTACTCTGGTTGTCACCCCATCCCTAAGATCAGTTTTGCTTTTTAATTCTCACCTGAGGATGTTTTTATTGATTTTAGAAAGGGTGAGGAAGAGATACATCAGTTGCCTCCGGTATTCACCCCAATGGGGGATGGAACCGAGCCCACTGCCTGTTCATGTGTCCTGACTGGGAATGGAGCCTGCGACCTTCTGGAGTACAGGACAACGCTCCAACCAACTGGGCCACACTGGCCAAGGGCCTTAAGGTTCAATTTTTATTCCCCTCTGGGAGGGGTGAGTGTTCAGAGGTGGTTTTTTTACAAGCTACGGTAGGCACCCACAGTGTTGTCAAAGAGTTTTGTGTTGGGGAAATGTCCAGCCTTGTCCAAGAGGAAGTAGAAACGTCGGCCTTTGACTTTTAGAGGCAGCATGGCAGGGACTTCACCCCGGTGGGCCATGCAGGATACTTGGTTCAAGGGAACAGTGAATTGAGCACCCAAGCCAAAGGGGGCATGAGTGGTGAGGGTCACCTGCTTCCCTCCAGCCTGTAGCATCACTGAACGCACAGAACGGAGGGAGAAAAGAAGACCAGCAGCAAGTACCAGGGTACCTGCAGGGAAGAGCAGATTGGGGTGAGGGGTTTTCACTGGCGAGCTAAGCAGCACCCTCCTAGTGCCCCCTGAATAAAAGAAATGATTGTGATGGTAGTGACATTTACTGAGCTGCTCTTACACCCCAGATCCTTGTTACTCATTCTTCCCAGCAACCTTAAAAGATGTCCGACCCCACTCTAATGACGAGAAAACAGGCCCAGGGCTGAAGTAACTTGCTCAAGGTCGCACAGTGAGTGGCAGACAGCCTAGGCCCGTCAGAGGGCTTGGAGCTTGGGACTTCCATCTCCAGTGTCCCTCACTTCGG